GTTGGTAGGACACCTTCTCAGGCATGAAGGTCTAGTCAGAGACATATTAGAGGCAGAAACAGGAGTTAGGAGGGGTAGAGGTAGACCTAGATTAGATTACTGTTCGCAAATAGTTAAGGATGTGGGCTGTTTTAGTCTTAGGGAAATGCGAAGTTTAGCTGAGGATAGGAAAAAGTGGAGGTACGTGTCCAACCAGTCTTAGGACTGACGACCCTGATGATGATGATGATGATGATGATGATGATAAAAAGTTAGTCAAATAGCCCCGGCCTCTCCTACATACATACCTAAAACTAAGATATTACCTTTATAAAAAGCAACGTGAAAATAAATTTTAGATTTCATTTCGGCATACCCTATGCAAATGTATCTATCTATGATCGTCACTATCGATTTGTATAAGAACATATAACTATTGATATTCCTGAGGGAAATTAAGATTCTATTAGGGAACCCAAGAAAGTCTTCTTTATCTTCCTTCGAACAACGATAAAATCAAATTTTGTAGAGTGCTGTTGGAAGAAATAAGCGAAGAGAACAAGGAGATCTAAAAAGTTCGGCGCAGGATCACTTTAAGTGACAGTTTGAAATACATTCAATGCCTAACAAGTTCTGAAAGGTGCGGAATTGAAAAGTTAAAGTTTCATCACGCACTTCGGCAGCACATTTATCTACCTACACACATCATAAAAAAAAGTTTAAGCAACACTAATAAGGGTATAACGTATGTTACAGATACCTAATGTGAAAAGGTGATTATCTGCACATAATGACTGGGCACTAAGGATAAGCATAGCGACTAAATTGAGTAATAGATATTTTTATAAATTAAGCCATTTGGGGTTGGTTAAACTAATAAATTTAAGGGATATAGTCGAATGAATTTAAAAATAAAAAAAGCAGAAAAAAACTTTTTTATCTGTTATATAATTTTTTGTTTTAATAATTCAAAATTGTTTTGTAAAGCACATTTAATAACTAACGGTAGATTTAAACAAACACGTAAATTTCACCAAACAAGTTCATCTTTGCCATATTCACATTGTAAAGTGAACAAATAGAAAACAGAAGTTGCTACAGTAATCAGTGTATTACTGCTACAACTACCAAAAACAAATTATATAATCCTAATTCTTAATATCAACGATGGAATTAAAAAATCATCGTAGTCTAATTAAAATAGCAAACGAATCAATTTTATTGAATTTGTGCGCACAATGTTTTTTTTCTTTTTGAAAATAAATGGCATTATTACCCATTGGTAAGAACAAAAAACTACACAAAATAACTAATATTTTGATACGCTATTACCAAGGGGGTGTTCTAATTTTAAGGACCGGTAACATGATCACAAAAATAACGTAGAAGGAAGGTATTGATTGTCATGAAAGACTTTCGAATATATTTCTTACGTATTGCACTCTACGGTAATTCTAACGCAAGAACATTTATCAATTAGCTACATATCACTACAAAATTATGAAAACTTAATCGCACGCAATTGTTTCTCATTGTTATGGTGGTAATTTTTTATAAGTATTTAGGTAATTGACCAATTTTATTGAAACATTAGTTTATCCGTTTTCTTCTTATTAACTTCCCCCAAAGCGACCCTAAATATCAAAGATTATTTAACTAATACTTAAAATTAAATATTCAACAGCTCCTTTCAACGAAATGACCTAGCTATTAATCAAATTTTATTTATTAATAACAATTTTAGACATAGTGTAATATACTGATTATTTATTATTAAATAAAAAAATTAACGTACATCCTTATTTGATGAAAATTTTAGCCCGAAGATGGGTTCTTATTGCTCGAAATCTACTTCTTTAACTGCTTGCGTACAGTAATCTGGTCTGTGAATTTTCAGAATGATTTTCAATTAAAAGATGATCAGGGAAACCAATAAATTACCTATTGGATAGGTTAGATAAGTACATAATTATGTCCTTCTCTAGTTTGAAATAATTGTCATAAATTTTAAATCAAGGTGACACAAAATTACGATATTAAATATTTTAAAAGAAATGTTTAAAAAAATATGCACTTAATTATTTATGTACTAAATATTCACAATTGCCACGTGCCAAGTGAAACATTGATCCTTTAACAAAAAAAAAACAACTAAATTGCAAGAGAATTTTTTGAAATTTTTGGAGTTTTAAAAATTCATTTCTAAGTCAATAAAAAACAAGTTAGTTATTTAAATTTTAATACTCAGTTAATTGTAATCTTCCTTTCTAATTACAGTTTATTTTGTTTTTGCAAGATTTCAAATTCTAACTTCATATTATTTGTTCTATTTGTGTGTTAAAATAACCAAGTTTAATTGTAGACTTTTATATTATAGAACAAATGGTCATATTATTATTCGAAAAATACTATAAATCTTAGAATCGCCTTATATTTCAGTATTTGACCAGCTTATCTAAGCAATCGGACGTTTTATCAGCTTAAATTTCATGCAATGTGGTTCTTTGAATATTTCCTAAGAAGAAACTAAAGAAGACCTTCCACCTTACCCTCCTATTTTGCACCAAAGTGTAGGTCGAAGGTAGAGGTATGACTTAGGCTTCCCATTGATGACCGACCGTCAAAGCTGTATCGCTTAAAACATGGACAGTGGGCGTGGCGAAAAAGAAAAGGTTAGAAGCGTTCGAAATGTGGTGTTACAGGCGAATGATAAGGATGCCGTGGATAGAGAAGATTAGAAATGAAGAGGTATTAAAAAGAATAGGAGAACAGAGGACTGTATGGAAGTCAATAAGAAACAGGCGAGATAGGTTAGTAGGACACCTTCTCAGGCATGAAGGTCTAGTCAGAGACATATTAGAGGCAGAAACAGGAGTTAGGAGGGGTAGAGGTAGACCTAGATTAGATTACTGTTCGCAAATAGTTAAGGATGTGGGCTGTTCTAGTTTTAGGGAAATGCGAAGTT